TCTGGACTTGCTCTGCTTCTCAGTTGCTGACACTCTAACTATGTTAACGGTGCATCACAAGACTGCAATATTCGTTGATGAAGTGTGTACTATATATATATACAAATTTCAACATTTTTTCTTAATTCTACTTCTTTCTCCTTAGGAATTCACCCTTTATTACATAATACCGTGCAGTTCATCCATATAAAACTATCCACACAAACGCGGCTTTAAGTCAGCTAACAAACTGCATCTCATCTATTTCCCCGCAGGCTGTCTGGTAAACTTGAAAAATTATAACAAGCAGCAAGCTAAAAGCAGCCAGTGAGCTGGGCACGAATGAGAACACGTTTTGTACGTAACTCCCACACTCTTGACAATCGGCAGACTCACTGGGGAAAAAAGCGATCATTTTATCTCTTTTTAAACAACATTTATTTCGCTTTCTTAATTCTTCTACATAGCCCTTAAGCACAATATTACTTTTTGCAATGAAAATTCCCCCTTCGTTTACTCTTCAATTATCTTGAGTCACTTTCTTTTGTTTCGCGAGAATATCCCATGAATTTTAAAGCTCTTGGAACGCATTTTATGCGCCATGAAATGCTGGTAGAGTTTATAGTTGGACAGGATGGAGTCAGGAGCCTGGTAAGGGCGAAGGATGCAAAGGAGGAGAGGAGAAGAAAAGACCAATAGCAACAGCGTTGAATAACAAGAAGAACAAAGAGTAAAGAAAAGAATACGTATAACGCAAAACCAAAAAAAAAAAATGCGAAAGAAAATGGAAGAAATAAACTTAAGTAAAACAAAGGACAAAGAAGAAAATGAAACAGGCTGGGAAGCCTATTTTGCTAAAAAGTCATATTATATCTTGCAGTAATAAAAATAATTCTTATCTCAAAACCGTGAGAAGTCCAAGTTTACCTTCCTTTAGGAAATAGAACTTGTATGACGAGATACAGAGTTCCTGAGGTCAGGTTGGAGACAATACCTACGACAGAGAATACCAAACCAGAGCTGGCCTGCAGGAAAAATCATACAACAAAATGGATTTATTTTAAACAAAAAGAAAGGTAAAAAATCTTTGTTCATTTGCTATTTGTAGCGCGGTCTTACTTATCTTAGTAATAGAATTCAATTCAATTTGTATACTGTAGTTGTCACAAATAAAGTAAAAATTTGGAGAATAGACTAGATTAAGTGTCCTCCAACTTACTTTGTTTTCTCCAATAAGTTCGGTTGCAAAACTAAGTGCATTAACAAACATGGCGGAGGACCCAAACCCCAGTAGAACAACGGCCGGGTAAGTGAACACCCTTGTTGACTGGGTAATACGCATAAACCACAAGCACGATCCAATTACAGTCAGAGCAGCAACAATGAAAGACCACTGAAACAAGATGGGGAGTTTCAGAAGATAGCAAATATATACCATTAAATTTTGACTTTGAATATTACATTTCCAGTACTCTGATTGGTTCACCCAGTTCCAGACATCAGTTCACTTGCCGAATTATGTTTTATGTAATGAGATCCACCCAAGCTTTGCTGAGTTGGACTGGGTTGTGTTTAGCTAGAAGAGAACGCTTCTCCGGAACAACGGAAATTAAGTAACGATTAAAAACAAAGCCATAAATAAAAGTACGAAATGACACTATCTGATGGTACGTATCTTTGACGTTTTACCCATGTATTGAAAAAAAAATGCAGCTGAATTCTGGAACTCATGATCTATAAAAAAGATACCCACGTCAGAAAAAAGAGCCTATTACCTTTAAAATTTCAAGTTGACTCGTAAATTTTCCTTTGACATTTCTCGCTCTGGCTAGGCCTTTAGTTGCAAAAGTTTCTTTATGAAATTCCTTTGAGCAGCCATGATATTGGTTTCCTCCGTTTGCAACCATACAGCAAAATATTTGAATGTGCACAAAGCTTCTTGATAAGCTTGAAATTTTAGAAATTGGACCTTGAACCGAACGCTTGTTCAATACGTTTGGGACAATACGTTTGTTTAATGCGTTTGGGACTCGAGCCCATAACTTGTACATTCGAAACAAGAAACATATTATGATCTGATTACTTAAGAAAGCTTAGCCTTTTTTTTAACAAAACCGCGTCCTAAACAAACTTGAATGTAGTTAAACCTTTTGTCCGGAACATTTATTTTTGTGAATAGTGTAAAGAGGGCCAAAAGCTAAAGGTGGAAGGATATTTATTTCATTTAATCAATCTTCTTGAGGAAGCCTGAAGCCCACTGCAGCTGATTGCTTAAAACCGTGGTTTAGGCTAGACTTGTGTGTAAATTAACAGCCCAAAAAGTTCAGTTTATTTAAACGTGGGCAGTCGACGATCGCTTCAATTTCGGTTCCATAAGCCAAAAAATTGAACAAACTGTGCCTAACTATAACGCTTGTTGACCAGCTGGAACCGAAAAACACAGTTAATGCTTTTCTCAAATAAATTTTTAATCGTACTCTTCCAAGAACGCTTTTTGGATTTGGAAATCACTTTATTTTGAGCAGGTATTTAGATCTAGCATTGTAAACTGCTTAGTGTTGGAATGTCATCCGGCTCCGGCTTGTTGGATATGAGCGCTTGAGACCATAAACAAAAAGAGCAATTAAGTTACTATTCGGTCAACAATTTTGTCCACGATCATTGCTTACATTAGAACGTTATGTGAAAATAGTTTTCTTTCTTTTTATTACCTGGTTTCCTACTTTTCCAGAGAGCTTCCTTGATATTTGNATCTCTTCTCGGATAAGGACGAATAAACCGTAGGCCCCGTCTCCTGCAGGGTTAGGGGTAGGAGACGTTAATTTCCCACGCACGAGATTAATGTGTGGTGGATGTCCTCCCCTGGGTGGGATGGGTGGATGTTGGCCCTGAAAAGCCCCTATGGGGAGTGGTCAATTAACCTATGTATGTCAGTATGTATGTATGTTAATTGCTGATCTCTTAGCCTGATTAACTTATTATTCATTACGTTTTTAATTGGTGACAAATTAGGGGAAGATAATGTTAATGGTTTACAAGTGTCTCTATGGCTCGAGAAAAATTGAAAACGTTAACACAAACTGGCTAATAGCCATAGTCTGAGCTACAGTTGGGGGTGATTTCGATTCTCATTGATTCAAACATCTGTGTGCCGATAGATGTACATAGTCAGACATTTGAATGGTGTAAAATAAGAATCAATTCTACTCAATCTAAAAAAAACTTTATCTATGAAGCAATAGCGTTATTTGGCGCATCAGAATTCAGGACCAAAAGTACACAAGGAGGACCGGGTCGATCCCGCTGCCGAATAAACAAGGATTTGCCATTGAACTTTTACATACTGACGTCTCTAAACCTCCAAATATGTGTGGCTGGAAGGTGCATTACACTTATATATTGGTGGAAAATTAGAATTGTTACTTTATTCATATTGAAATTTTCTTTGAATTGAGGGCACCAGCACAAAAACCGATGTTGGGCTGGTCTAAAGTACAGTTCGGCGCGGAAATTGTTGATTCGAGTTCATGTATCGTTCGTCCACAAAAACGATAATTTCATCTGCTGTAAACAAAATAATTTGAGAATCAAACATGACATTGAAACACTTTTTTGGGTACTATGGAAGGCCATACTGGACAAAAGTGGTCGAGAATAATTTTGTTAGCCGAGAAATAATTTTGTCCTTCGAGATATATTTTCGATGGTCCAGAAATATTTTTGACGATTGAGAAAACTCTTTCCTTGATCGATAAATAATTCTCTCTCTGACGAGAAATATTTGTGGTAAGTCCAGAAATATATCAAAGGATCGAGAAAACTTTTTCATAGGTCAAACAATTTTTTTTACGGGTTGAGAATTTTTTGGTAGATTGAGAATTAATTTTTCCGATCGAGAATTTTTTTGCCGATCGAGAATTTTCTTTGTCGACCGAGAAATTTTTTTCGAGCGTGAATTTTCCTGATGGTCGAGAATTTTTTTTTGTCGATCGAGAATTGTTCTGTCAATTGAGCTGGTCAGCGGGCGTTTTCGCTCCAAAATATGATCACATGGGACATCATATAGTACTAACGAAAATGGAAAGCGTACGCCGAAATCCGTCAGAAGGAGGTCATCTCGGGTCGATTTCCGATTATGAAATCCGAGCTTGCCCGATGTTGTCTTCATGATGAAGGCTCTAATTAGCATTTTAGACTCGCAAATTAGAGTAAAATGAACACGTACTCTGTTTTCGCTCATGATTTTGTATTGGCGTAAAATATATTTTCTTTTCTTTTTCCGTTGCTAAGCCATATTACAGTTCAAAAAATGTAATTACTGACGTTTGAGTGACATGGAAACGACCTAGTCAGAAATTAATATTCTGATAGCACGTTGAAGAGGTTCGCGTGCCTTCATGGTAGTTTCGGATTATTTAAGCGTTTCGCGATAAAATTAAATAATTCCAGGTGGGTCAGTCTTAGATTTGACCACTTTCTTTTTTATTTTGTGATGTAATTTTGTTCTACAATTCTCCGCAAAATATCACAACATTCATCGATTTTTCTGTGATTAGTATGGTAACCAGGTTCTATACTCTTTCCTTGGGGTTTCGTTCTGCTGCATTAGATGAGGCATACGTTTCCACATATTTTTTTGCCACGTCTAAAGAGTGTTTTCTTTTTAGTGGTTTTTCGCATCTGGCGTAGAACAGGCCTTTTTTGCAGAACCTTTCAGTTTCAGTGAATACATCCAATGCATTGCAGATTGTATAAGGATGCGTATACTACAAAAATGCGGTCGGCATTTCGAGTTTTTCAAAGTGTTGACATAACTTGATATGTGGTCAACCAAAGGCGTGAAATATTGGAAAAAACTTGGGAAGCGGAAAAGACCCACTTCGTTTTTACCCGAGTGTGACTTCTTTGGAAGAATTAATAGGGTATGAAACCTTTACGGATTGCCTGNATGGCAGAGCTTTTCTCTCATCTTGGCTAACATCCTGAAAATGTTGGTTAAGCTGTGTTTCAGTTGTATCAAATCCTTCATTGTCAACACCGGAGGTCCGTTTTTGACCTTGGTTGTATACTTTTGACTTCTGTTGTCCATTTTCCATTATTCCCTCACCATCCTCTTCACTTATATTATCTATGGGTCTGACATTGTCTGGCTTCTCGTCGTTTTCTTCTTTAGAATCCTTTTCTTTTGTCATCATTTTATCAAAGATGCTCATCATAAGGCTTATTTTTCGCTCTTTTGGTAATTCCTTAACAAACGTGAGGTCGTCCTCACTTTTGACTGTCATTGAGACAACGGGCATGTTCGGTGTAGGATCATGCTCTTCATTTTCTACGGTCTTAATTTCGGAAACCTCCTCAGTTTCACTTCCTCCAAATAGGGCTGCAAAAAATGTTCGGGAGAAACTCCTTTCTCCAACAGGGCAGGTCTCTTCAGACAATCGCAGACTGTGAATTACTCTATCACGGATATCTTTCTTTCTCTGTTGATCTATGGCAAATCAAAATAAAAAACGACGTGGTATGTAAACGACGTGCTGTGTAGATTAAAAACATCACTGAGACAAATAAAACGTCTATTGACTTCAGAAAAGCGATGAAATTAAGAAGAAATTGTTAAGGAAGATATCGAGTGGAAACTTTGCTGAAAGCAAGGCAAGTGAAGTTGTTGCACAGCCTTACGAATAATGAATAACGACTCACCTATTCCAAAATACGCCAATGACTGTAAGACAACAGGCGATGGTATGAAGGAGCTTTCTGTCTGTAACATGTATAAAGGAGTAAATTACACAATATTATTTTGGATGAGATCACCAACAATGGACACATAGTAAATATTTACATTAACCGTAGGTCACTGATTGGCACATTTCCCCCAATATTTGTATATACTTTGATGTGCGCTTGGCGCGGTTAGCTACAGGTCTAACCTACAGGTCTAAATCCAAGGCAATAATGTGGGTAAAGGTGATTGTGGGCTCCGATCTTTGGCGTAAAAGATCCCTTCTCCTATGCAGAGGCAAGAGTCCAATTTCCTTCAATAAGGGATCAAATAATTGTTTCAAATGAGACGAAACATTTAGCTGCAAATAAAGAATTCAAAAACTGCTAAACTTAAAAGAGAAACAAGGAAAAATTTTTTTAATAGCAAAAAAGGAAAAAAACCTAATTCTAGTCCGAAAACGGGCTTCCACGTTAACTTTAATTGATATTATGATATGTACAGAAAAGACCTACAATCTTATGTAAATATGAATGTAAAGAATTACGCCGTAGGTCATTAGCGGTTATGCAAGAGTGTGTATGTGTACCCGGACTGAAATTAAAGTGATGTATTAGTAAGTACATTAAAGTTTCTATACGACCAACATGGTTTTTATTGTTTTAGTATCTCTTTAACCTGTAAAAGAGTGTTTTTGTAAAAAAAAATTTGATTCTGACGCCTCTTCACCCTAAAATCGAGCTTTAAAGTTCCCGCTTCGGCCACGCCCAATGAAGTTGACCGCGTAAGGGAAGATTGGTGATGAGTGACGTCATTCCAGGAGCGTTTCGAGCGTCGNTCCGGCTTTTTTACTTCAGGAATACCTATAAAAAAACAATGAGGTGGTGAGTTAAGAAATGAGAATTTGTTTTGTCCCTATGTACCAAAATAGATCATTGCAGCATGCACGATACACCGAGTCCAGAGCAAGCTCACTATGGTGCTCTCCATATCACAGTGGTAGGGCGTCCGAGAGTGGGATCTCAGGGTCTGGGGTTTGATTCCCCAAGGGATCTTAGACTGTTTCTCATCTGCATGCTCTTTAGAAGACTAATAACATTGTTTTTCAGTCAAGTTCTCGTTTTGGTACCTGAATACTTTCAGACTTCGTCGATTGTTACATGTTCATATGGGGTTTAAATCTCCTTTTTTAAGTGCAAGAAGAGCTTAAATTAATTTTTCGAGTGGCTGGAGGGCGGGGGACCGGAGGTAGGGTAGTACTCAACAAAGGGGGTTGCGCACATCCAAACCCACTATACCCCTTCTTCTCATTAAGCTCCTCCCCTAGCTGAGGGTGTTCTTTGGAGGCTCTTTCCTCTTCGTCCTTTACCTCTCTGGACATGCGCACACCATATTCGAATAAATAAATAAATAAATAAATAAATTTTAATTAGTTGTATAGCCCTATTTACATGTACAGATCAATAGTGCTTTACACTGAATAAAAATTAAAAACCTTATATATCTAAATAAAAATTTACAATAGTAATGGTAGCTAAAAATACATAAGAATAAATTATTTTAATGTAATATATCTAAGTTAATGATTACAAAAAGCTTCATTAAACAGAAATGTTTTAATAGCTTTTTTAAATTTATCCAAACACTTAATCATTTTAATTTCATGAGGAAGTCTGTTCCATAAGTATGGTGCTGCTGCCTGAAAAGATCGATCACCAAATGTCTTCAGCATCTTACCCTTAGGGGGCTCTAAGTAAAGACCGTCATTAGATCGAAGACAATAAGAAGATTTTGATTTAATAGATATGAGGCTGTTAATATATGACGGAAGTAAATTATGAAGCGCTTTAAAAGTAAGTAGAAGAATTTTAAATTTAATGCGAGCCTGGATTGGAAGCCAGTGTAACTCATATAGAATAGGAGTAATATGCGAGTACCTTCCAACGTTCAATAGCAGTCTTGCGGCTGCATTCTGTACACGTTGTACTTTAGCTATCAGTTCCTTTGAGGCACCATACAAAAGACTGTTACAATAATCTAATCTATTCGTTATAAACGCATTCGTTATAAAATTGTCCCAAGCGATAACCCTAATTAAGTTAACATGAGCCCATCTACCACAACCTGAAAGGTCAGATGCTCATTTTTATTCTGTGTCTCAGCTGAAGGAGCAGTAAAAAGCACAAGAAAAAAAGGAAGTAGAGAAAAAAATTAACACTGAAACAGTAATAATCAGTGGCAGTAATAGAATCATGTGGATATTATTAATTACCATAAAATCCATTGAGCTTTCTTTTGTTAACTGATCATGGCTATCTTGTCCAAGAATTAGCCACGCCACAAGGTAGGAAACGATGCCAGTTAAGTACATGAAAGCCGTTCTGTAAATAGGTAGTCAACTGCAAGTGAGCTTTGAAAAATCTTTACGTTTTGTAGAGGCAAGAACAGCCTAAGAATTTACTTGTAACAAATAAAATGTAACTGTTTATGAAGTGAAATCAACTTCTACAGATACAAAACTTGATAAGATTTGTCTGAAGTAAGATCTAATAAGACTTAACGCCGAAATACGGACATACTGACGAAACCGGGAAGTCATGATTCATATAACTATTATCTTTATGATTACATTTGTTAGTTTGATTTTCATTATTATTAATTTTACTATCATTATTATTATTATTAATATTATTATTATTGTCATTATCATTATTATTGTTTTATCCAAACCCTTTTAAGTAACGAGAACAATCGTGACGAGGGCTGCGCAACTCACGCAAATTTATTTGGTTCAAGTGCCTTGATATTGTACCTCTTGCTACGTCATAAAAGTACACGAATGTCAGGCATGGTTACTTGGCTGTTTAACGGTTAAACTGATTGATCACCAGTCTAGTCCAGTCGTAATCCGTGCGGAATGGAGTCTTCTTTCTCATCGCACCTCAAGCTTGCATGCCGTTCGCGCTATGAACACACGCTTTGACCCAATCTGAGTCTTGTGCTAATTCAAAACTTTCAGCCCGAGTGTAATGAACTTGTCTCAGCATGAATATAATTTTAGCGATCGAAAGAGTTTCACAAACCTTAAAGCAGTCAGCTTTGTGGCCTCACTTTGATCCTTTGCCAAAACAGGAATAATCGACAAGTGCGATATGTCAACGAAGTTGATGGAAAATGAAAGTACGGTGGCAATGAGAAAGTAATACAACAGCACCACCCATTCACTGGTTTCACTGCCGCAAACTAAACATTTGCTGAAAAACAGCGGCAGACCTATTGCAGTTGTAATAGTTCCAAACAAATGCCACGATTTTTTCTTTCCATGCTTGCGTGACAGGACCAGAATCTTAACCTTATCACATAAAAAACCTGCTACTGGAACAAATATAAATGCACCGGCAAAAAGACTGTAAAGAGCAATCAAGCCGGCATAGGTTGCAGAAATGCCAACCACTCTCATGAGAAAAATCATTCGGAATGTTTGTAACATGCGGCGAGTGACATCATTAATCACATGCCCGACTCCGCAGGAAAACTGCTGAAAGTACGATAGTCCTCTCCAGTTAGGATTTTTCTTGACCTCCATGTCCAAATCCGCAAATACCAACAACCTAAAGAGGAATAAAGATAAGAAAATAAAATAAAAATCAAAAATAAAACAATAAACAAGAAAAAAGGGCAATGGAAAAATATTTTATGAAACCCCGAAATTACAAGGCAAAACTTGAGGGCCCAGAAGGACTGATAGGAAACAAAATTAAAAAAATAAACTACCCTTAAACCCTTCCATTATTCGATAATTTTTATAGAGTTTAAAGTATAGGCGGCAATTCTGCTTGAAGTTTTCTCCAGAAATTTACAGGTTGAATTTACAGGAGAATTTATTACTTTTTACTTTAGAGGACAGAAGTATAGAATGATGATGTCACCATTCATAACTTTGTGCATCGTTGAGGTGCGTCGTGTCAATAATAGATCATACATGAAATAAAAAGGTGATAAAAACAACAGTTACACACTCGGCTGCACCACGTTTTGATTAGATTCTCTATCATAGATGAAACAAAAACGTGATAAAAACAAAAGTGACACACAAGTCGGCTGCACCGCGTTTTGATCAGATTCCATGTTGCTGTGCGTCTGGTCAATAATATCTCATAGATGAAATAAAAACGTGATGATAACAACGGTGACACACTCGGCTGCGCCGCGTATACCGCATTTTGACGTCATTTTGACGTCATCCGCGACCTATTATTGAACAGACAGCAATTAGGTTAGTAAGGCCGAATTGAAATTTGAATGCTATAAATTTCAGTTTCCCTAATCAGTGATGTGTGGTGTCAGCAACAAATTGTGGCCGTAAAAGGTTACCAAAAGGTTGCTGTTGACGTGAAGGTTTTCCGAAATATCGTAACCTTTTAAAAATAGATAGACGGAAGTACTTTTTCTAGCTCTTCCCAAGATTTCTTCACGGCTCAGTAAAAGCACCTATTGATGTAATTAAACATTAAATTGCAGGAACAGTGAGCAAACTGCGAATGATTGACGCCCTTATACTTTTTCTTTATACTCTTAACTCAGAGCATACTTGTTTGACTCTTTCGAGATAGTACTAGTTAGTTCCTAATCATTCTAGATGCGTTTGGTTTAAGAAGTTTATTGGTCTGGAATAATTAAGTTAAGGGCTCGAAAAGAGAAGAGTTATAACTACGTTATGTCAGATGATTTGCAGACTACTGCTCGCTCTTTCTAACCTAACTATCCGGTGATGAAGGCATTAGCCTAAACAGCTCCTCAGGGAATACGCTTCGTCTTGGAAAATGGATTCAAATGAGATTTGTGTAGTTTATCAAGAGTTGTGCTTTATGATATAATGAGGAAATTATTTTTTTTAAGAGGAAAAATACTTTCTGGGGTATACCACGCAAATTTTTTACTCATCGTTCACAACTCAAATGATGGATGAGTATTTTGCTGTAAAGGCAACTCAACAAATGCTATTCTCTAATTACGAAATCGTGGTTCAATACTGCATGACACGGAAATACTGGCATCTTTTCAAGCCGGAAAAATCAACGGTGATAACACTCATTGGTAGCTACCTCTAACTAGCTAGTTATGTATTGGAACGGAATCTTGAAGCTTTGCACGGGTGTACAATTAACATCGAGGTAAATTTTCTCAGCGATAGATCTGTTTCTTATAAATTTGTACTCGCAGGATAAATCATAGCACTCTGCACTATTG